GAAACTAAAGCCTTAATCAAAATGGAGTTGCCTGTTGCACCACGCGTCTTCAATGGGCCCAAAGACAGCAAACTAGGGCGCAGGCATCTGCGCCTAGAACCATGACAAGTGTGCTAAGGTTCTATACGTACACTGCGATGCTTAGCTTCGCAGAGACATCAACCTGAACCCTAAAGTGCAGTTACAAACAGTTACCCCAAAACCTAAACCTAAACCCTGAAGTGCAGTTACAAACTGGACTCCACCAGGTCCAAGCAGCAGCATGGCACGAACATTCTGCCGCTCGCACCTGTGCTCGGCTTTAGATTGCCAGAGCGACTACTTCCGGACGTTAAAATAAATCTTGCTGTCGGGTTCATAAGGTTCATAAAGCTTCTAATATAAAGGTCTTAATACTTAGAATAGGGTTTTGGGGTGTATTATACTACAGTTATAACAAGAAACCCCCAAAACAGTATAGGTAATCATTAAGGCGCTCATATGGGAGTTTGCGAAAATAGGGGACCCTAATTTCACACCCTCAATATTAGGATCCTTATTATAAGGACCCCATAATACGGTACCCCTAATTTTCGGAAACACCCATATTAGAGCTTTGGAAGATGAGAGGTTCGGGGTTTCGCGTTCAAGGACTTCGGGCTTCGGGGATTAGGGTTTAGGGTTTCGTGTTTAGGGTTTAAAGTGTTGGGTTTGCGGCTTGGTGGAGTTAACCCTAAGGGTCCATGTACCTATATACTATATGCATGGGCCTTAAAGTAGTCCCTATATAGGTACTTGAGGACCAGAGTATCTAGTATAGGGATAGGGGCCTTAATAGTTAGAATAGGGGTTGCTTTAGAGGGGCATCTGTTAAAGGTGTCTGTAGGGGATCTATAGTAAGGTTCTGTGATATAGGGGCCTTAATACCTAAACAATTGGAATAGGGTTTTGGGGCACATCATAGTCTTCTACATTAGGGTCTTCTTTGCGTTGTTTCTTAAGCGCAATTTTCCAGCTGCAGGCAGAGGTACTCAGGAAAAGAGCACTTGGTTCTAGAGCCTCCAACCTACCAAAACCTCCCAAGTACCCTTGAATGGAGCCCTTATGGTCCTTAACTAGTAGTCGGTACTTGCTTAAGGTAGATTAGAGGGTAATTGGGGGGGGTCTAAGTAAACCCTGAAGGCTACAGATTTAGGATTAGTTGAATTTCAGACCTTCGTCGGCAGTGCGGGAACTCGAAAAAATGCCGCCCGAACACTCTATAGGGCCATAAACCCCATAAACTTACAGATCATATAAGCTAAAAGATGGAAGGACTGAAAACGTTTCATCCCTTCCGAAATGCCCGCTCTATCAACAGCACATAAGCCCTAAACTAAAGCTGCATGCCCCAACATCCATACTGACTCTATAGAGCCACATGCTCCTACGAGTAACTCAACATCCAATATAGACCTTACAGTATCTAAAGAACTGTGCAGGCAAGGTTCTGCCAAAGGCAGCCACTCAGCATGGCGACGATCATCACCTATTAAGTGAGCTTCTACGACTTCTAACTTCTATAAGGTTCAGGGGATCGAGGGTTTCAGACCCGGTTTTGGGCATGGGGTTTGGGGCGAGGCTTAGGAACTGTGGGGGATGATGGGGCGAATCAGTGCGGGGAGTCATCTAGGGTGGAGGTGCTCAGCCCAGAGGGTCCATACACACTGCGAATATGGAATTAGGCTCTAAAAGACCATTCCCCCACAATGGTTTTGGGGACCTAATTCCATAATAGTAGTGTATATGGACCCTCTGGGCAGGAGGGCTTTAGCAGAGGGTTTTCCTGGGGTATCGGGACCATATTTATTACACGGAAGGAACAAACTTGCGTGGTGTGCTGTACTTACAATTGATCAGTCAATCCCAAGCTGACACTCCGTTTTCGGGCCCAACCCTCAACCCTAAACCCTGAGTCCTGAACCCTAAACCCTAACGGGTAGCGGGCATTCATCGGTTAGATGATTGGGGCTTTACGGGAGTTGATGGGCGTCACTCTGCTCTGTGTTCCCTCCCACCTTTCCACCCAAAAAGGACGTGCTAGATCCGAAACCAGTTGAAAATTGCAGGACATCTTTCTCCTCAAGAAGCCATGAATACTTACCACAGATAGTCTTAAGTGCCAGGCTCTTACTGTTGATGCGGATCCTTTTCAGGATCTCACGGAGGACAAGCTGCCACGCTGGCATCCCAAAAAGGTGCCTTCGATGAAAACTAGATTTTGTTGAACAGCCCTGGTCAAATACCGAAGCTCCTGCAAACACAAGCCGCTTCCAGGGCAGCCTTGATGTCGAAAGCAGCCGGTATTACGAGTTTAGGGTTTAGGGGTTTAGGGCTTAGGGAGTTTCAGACAATATACGGAGCCGTGACTGAGCGGGATCACGAATATAAGAACACTCCAACCAGGGAGCCCATCGTCAAGAGCCCGTATTAAAAGCGCGGAAAACATCACCTCACCCTTGACATAAACCCCCAAGAAACCACCCTCATCCAGCCCAGCAGAACCCACGAAACATGTTTAAAATCCAACTAAGCCCCATGGTACTTGGAGGATCATGGGAATTAGTACGTAAGGTTTTAAGTACCTTAATTGGGGTTATAAGCATAGTTACCCTAATTATAACCCTACTAAGTCCCATGATCCTTTAAGTATGCCAATGAACCAGACTGGAGATCTCCGTGGTGGAGGGCACGTCGTCGCCCATGGTCCCTTGACCAGGGAGAGGATTTAGGGTCTTGCAGTCTTGGATTTGGGTAGTCGTCAAAATTAGGGTCCCTTTTTGGGTACCCTAAATATGAGGTGCCGTACTATAACAGGGATCCAAAAACACACCATATTTTTGACAACCACCCATTTAGTCCCAAAGCAGACCGAAAAGGATTACAAAAAGGGCACTGAGGAAACCTAGAGGATCTAAAGCAACGCTGTTGAAACATGTCTGGCTGAAGTAGAGATGGATATGTAGAGGAACCAAAAAGCAGTACTAGAGTATGGTACTCTAGAACCCGAAACCCCCTTACAGATCCCTTTTAAAAAGCCCCTTTGACCCTTATAGAAGCCTCACAGATCCCTTTGAAAAGGAGCCCTTGAGACTCTTGAGGTCGCCTCACAGGTGTTGCAGCCGCTCGCCGCAGCCGAAGAGGAAAAATTGCTCACCGGGGCTCCCTAGGGCTCCTTTTCCCTTTAACAGTAAACCATGGGCTCCTTTAAAGGGATCTATAGGGTTCCTTTAAAGGGATCTATAAGGGTACTCTAATATAGGGGCCTTAATAATCCAAACTTTATAGTAAACCCCGTAAAGTTGGAAACCTGATTAAGGTCAAATAGTGCTGGGATTCCCTATACATTACTCTTAAGGATTGAGGCTATTGGGCTTCCAACTTTTTGGCTTCTACTGTAGGGGTTCGGTCTTTGGGGGTGTAGGTTTCTGGGTTTAAGGTGACTGGGCTTTGGTGGGTTTCTGGGTTGCATAGCATCTGGTTAGTAACATACCGGAGCCCGAGAGGCTAGTATTGGAAAAAATATTCCACTACTCCTGGGATGGGATCTACAATATTTAGGGTTTCGGGTCAGGGTTATTTAGGGTAAACTCCGAGGAAGAGATGCGCCATGAAACCCATAGTTTGGGGGCCGAAGGCCATGCAGCTCGGGGCGCGGGGAAACTCCAAAACCTCGCTATCACAGCTGCGGGGTGTCCCAAGCCTCCAAAGCCTTTCAGAGACCGCCGTAACTAAAATGGCAGGCTTCATCAGTTGAAATGATCGGAAACTTTCCTACACCTACACCTAAACCCACCTAAATCCCACCGTTAAACATTGGAAGCATGCTCCTGGGATCCACGGCTGACTTGATGACAATGTTCGCATTGTGGTGTAACACACCAATGGACAGCCGAGGCAATCGTTCGGTGTATCCTAAGCTAAGAACAGGTACGGGCTCAGCATCAAGGCATGCGCTGCTTGAGACGAGGCAGACGCAACGTTGCACATGCTCGTGGGCATAGACCTACACAACACGATCCTAATTCAGGAGACGGCCATGACTGCCGTAGTTGAAGTTCTCGTGACTGATGGAACGCCCGTGTCTTCGCCAGTGTGTTGCATCATTATTCCATGGTTCCTCCACGGCCACAGCTACATGGGCCAGACCAGAAACTGGTAGTAGACAATACGCAGTAGGGAGTGGAAGAATCGCAAGTGCACCCTACAAAGCACAAAGACTCACGAAACCGAAATTAAAGCGGCTGGGAACACATGAGAACAGCTTCAGCTTAGCAGAAGACTCAGAAGTGAACCATACAAAGCACAAAGACTCGCGAAACCGACATGGAAGCAGCTGGAAAGATATGATTACAGCCTCAGCTTTCCTGAGTTTACTGAGGCACGAAAGCTTCCGACTTTGAAACCCCACAAACTCTTATCGTCGCACATACTATATACTATATACTACATACTAATGTATGTAGTATGTAGTATATAGTAAAAAGTATGTCCTGTAGACTGTAGACCACAGACCCTAGACCATATACTCTACATACTATACACCGCAAACTATACGGTACTATGATATGCTTGGATATACCATACTATACCGTATGCACTATGCTGTATTGTACTATACCGTACTGTACCGTACCGTATGTTACCATACGATGCTATACTATGGCAAACTATATTATACTATACTGTCTGGTTCTTAGTAAGTAGGGAATGGGAGAATGCATCCCTACAGCCTACAGTAGTTAAACAATAATCCCCAATAGTAGTCCCCATAATCTATTCACCCATTCCCTACTAAGAACCAGACAGTATACTATGAACCCTACATCCCCATAGTATAACCCTTATAGTAACCCTTACCCCTAAACCCTAAATCCCCATAGTATAACCCTTATCCCCATAGTATAACCCTTCTAGCAACGCTTATAGTAACCCTTAAACGGTGTACTGTGAACAACTGTCTCGGCCCTTGAGCTCTGCACTCAAGGACATGCCGATCTCGGGGTGTGCCTGGCACGCACGGTTTAGGATTTAGGGTTTAGGGTTTAGGGGTTTAGGGTTTAGGGTTTATTGGGTTCTGGGGAAAGACAAAACATCACAAAACTCCCAAAAAAATGAAAGGGAAGGGGTGTCAGAGGTTGGGACCCAAAGCTCCTACACCCAAGACGCTATAAAAGGAATAATATAACTAAATGTAGGAATCTGATTAAGGAACCCTGGGCCTCAATTAGGGTTCCTTCAAAGGGGGTCTATAAGGGTTATTATAAGGATTAGCCGATGTCCCTTAAGAATCGGGTCTCGCCACCTGCTGTCTTCCGACCACTGCAATCGAGGAAATTCCATGCCCGCTTCTTCGAGTTACAATATCTTCTATACTAGAACCTTCTTTCCTCAGTGATCGGCTAGAACGAAATGAACAAAATGGAATATCAGCAAGACCCGTCTAAAAAGCACTCATACAATCACAGCTTTGCAAAAAAAAACAGATGGAACCCTCGGCCCCCCTAATTTGTATAAGATCGGTTTAGGGTTTAGGGTTTAGGGTTTAGGGTCTCTAATCCCTGGTACTCTGGGCAACACCTTGTCCCATATATACCGTGCAATACTGTCCGATACTAATACTACACCCAAACTTGTGGTGACTCGCTCCTTCAACCTCTCCTGATCACTCGCCCACTTCCTGATAACTCCCCCTCATCGGTCGTCAGATTTTCCAAACTCAGCAACAACCAACAACTCACGAATCATGCTGTAGGCTCGGTGGTGGTAGTATGGGGGTTTCCGAAAATTAGGGATACCTTATTTGAGGGTCCCTAGAATAAGGATCCTACTATTTGGGGTACCATATTAGGGTCCCCCTATTTTCGGAAACTCCCGTATCGTGCCCGCATCAGAAGCATGGTAAATCAGCAGCCCTGGAGCTGCAAGTCGCCCATCCAAGGAAAATTGTGTTTCTTCGATCTTCGTCGAACTTCTGCATCAACTGCGCCCGGACGTCTGCTAGAATGAGGCGTTGTTCTTCGACTATAGCCCCCCCAAAAAGGGAACTATAATGGAGACTGCAGGTAGGTCAGAGAACATCGGCCTCCTCTCGCGGTAGGCCTGCCTCGAGGCATCCCAGACACTCAACTGCCGCGGTCGTCACTGCTGCAAGGGAGGTCTCCCCGGAATCAGTAATCCTAGCTGGAGGTTCATGGGTAGTTATGAGTAGGGCTCCTTTAAGGGTTCCTTTAACGGGATCTATAGGGATTTTATAAGGGTATAGGGTTAAGGGCCTACTTGGAGGTTCATGGGTAGTTATAAGTAGGGTTAGAAGTAGGATAACTATAGTTATAACTCCTATGACGGGACTTATAACCCCACTTATGACTACCCATGAATCTCCAAGTAGGGCTCCAAAAGTAGTAGGTTACTGTTCATATGTTCGGTACACCAGTAACCTACTGCTTAGGTAACTGGAGCCCTAGGGTACTATAGTTATAGGCTCTCACTCATGATCGGCATGGCCGGCGGCGTTTTCGGCCGGGAAGCATAAGGGAACCTTATTATTATGTAGAGCTCAGAATTTACAAGGTACTACAATCGATCATAAATCTCGAGTTGCGGTATCTGAAGTTTATATGGTCTACCTTATAACCCACCAAACCCTACTTTTTGGAGGTTCTTATTCTCAACCCTAATATGAAATCTAAAGGGACCCGGCCCTAAATGTGGCTTAAGGTTCATGTGGGCCAGGCATCCCCGTAAAACCCGTCAAGCTCGGTGGCATCAAAAACCTTCGCAGGGTCTCATGACAGAGCTTGGGCTGCCTGGCTTTTCAAGCCTCAATAGTGGGAACAGGTTGAGGTCACATTGGGAGTTTATGTTACACCCCACCAAAAAAACAACAGGTCTAACGTAGGAACCTGATCAAGAAACCCTGGGCCTATAACCCCCAAATAGTTGGATTCATATAAGGAACCCGAATAAGGGCCCAAGGTTTCTTAATCAGGTTCCTACATTAATTAGTCATCCTCTACCCAAATCCGACGGTGGGACTTGGCAGGATGCTGGCCCAAACACTCCGATGGGCATGGTTTGGGACGAAGCCGAGCATGAGGCTGCTTTGCAAGTTTCGCTGATTGAGATTTCGAGTTGACCGCCGTGGTTTCGAGCTTGCAGGTTCGATTCTCTGAGCATGTCGTGCCTTGCAATGCAAGCCTGCGCTAGTAGTTGGAGGTTCCTGAGCACCAATAACACAACCATACCTGAAAGGTCTTCTATATAAGGAACTCCCTGAACCTGCGTCCTGCTATATACACCTCACATCCCAAAAACTAACACAACAAACCCTTAACTAAGGATTTCGGGTTGACCTAGACCCCCCAACTACCCTCGGACATAGCCCTTTTTTACCCACTATTAAGGACGACGATGGCTCATTAATGGGCACTTGGGGGGGTCCTGGCGGGGGGGGTCGAGGCTTCGGGGTATAAGTTAGGTACTGCCCCCTTACAGTAAGAAAATAGGGCTACTATTAAGGTCCTAATATATCTATACGATGATCACTGAGTGGGGGCCGTACCCAAGTTATAAGCCCCCCGAAAAAATGCAGGAAACCGAAGAGCCCGACCTGATAGGTCTCGTGAGCCAAGGACGTGGTGTATACTGACCTGGTAGCCCGGTTTAGGGTTTAGGGGTTTAGAGCTTATTAGGGTTTCGGGTTTCGGGGTTTAGGGATTATTGGGGTTTAGGGTTTAAGGGTTTAAAGTTTTTCTCGGTTAGGAAATATAGGGGGTTGAATAATCAGAATAGGGTTCCTTGGGGGATAAAGTTTTAGTTCAGGCCTGAACAATGGGGTGTTGAGGCACAGTGCACCTGTACAGGGAATACTTTAAGCCCAAAGTCTATACTATTTGGGCACATGGGCCATTAGGGCTTAGTAGTGCAAGTTGTGAACCTCGACTAACCCGAAACCGCCAATCTGACCTGTAAAACCACGACCCTAGACCCTAAAACCTGACTAAATCAATTCTTATAGCAGTCTGTAAGCAAACTCAGGAGAATCCAAAGGAAGAATATCACACAAAGTCAGGCTTCTATATTGCTGTGGGATCTCGGTACAGAATTCCGTTGGGTCGCTCTGGCAGACCAGGGGTATCACGTCCAAGATCTCTGAAGTACGTCAGTCCCTGGAAATGAAAGCTTCTAACGTCGAGGCGAGGTGAACACGAGAATGCACCCCACCAAAGAGTTTCAAGGCCTTGAGATCCTAGGGTTCCTTTGAGGGGATCTATGGGAGATCTATAGGGTTCAGGGTTGAGGGGGCTCCAATATCCCTTAAGCAACTTTCCTGAATCATTGATCCTGAGTCTTCTGGGCTGCTTTGGGTTAAACTTCTTCGTGGAAGCCCTCTAATTACTGGCTTACTGGCTTACCCAAAGGGTCCATGTGCCCAAATGGTACATACATTGGCCTTAAAGTAATCCCTATTTAGAAGAGGAAGGTTCCAGATACGCTCGAAATAATAAGCCTTACGCAGCATGTTCCGTGGCCCAAAACCCTCCAAACAGGAGTTTTGCAGCCTTAAGGTTATCATACCTTACCTTAGAGTTCCTGGAGCCTTAGACAGGGTAAAGTACCTTCCAATCATCAGCCCTTCTGTGCCTGGCGCCATTTGCGCCGATCGTCGCCGATCGAGCTGCCTCAGTGGACCCATGCGCTGTCTCCGACCGAATGTCGCGGTCTGCGTACGTAGACAAGGGGTTCTTGTGATTGTTTATAGAGGAACCCTTAGGGATAGCTTTACGGTACACAGTATGATTCAAGACTGGATGGTTTAGAACTTTGGGGATTAGGAATTAGTGTTTAGACGTTTTCGGGCACTGGCTGAGGATTAAAACGTCGCCAACAACAATCCGAAGAACCACAAACCAGTGACAAACCACAATTAGTGTAGTCAAGGCTTATCGAGAAGCTGCAACATGCTGCAACCGCCTGAAGTTCGCAACAACACCCCAAAAGTACAGTGTTACTGGACAGGTCCAGCCTATGACAACCCTCGCACAGATGCCCTACGCCACTGGTAGTCAAAGTCACTTAGAATCCTCACGAAACCCTCAATCTTCTGTGAGGATAGGGAGGCTTCTCAGAAGGGTACTTCTCAGTGTGTTTAACCCTATTCAACAATATTCAGAAATGTTTGAATTTCTGCTTAAATATTCGGAAATATTACGTTTTCTTCGGTAAACTTCCATAATATTCTTCATTCTTCCAGGTTCTTCACCATTATTCTTAGATCTTCGTAAATCTTCGAAATTATTCGAAACTATTCGAAATTATTCGAAATTATTCCAAATTATTCCAAAGTATTCGTTGTATCTGCGGAGAACTTAACACTTTTCTAGACCATTCTTCTCAGATCTTCGTAAATGATCGAAATTCTTCGAAATTCTTCCAAATTCTTCTTTGTATCTGCGGAGAACTTCAAACACTTTTCTAGACCATTCCTCTTAGATCTTCGTAAATCTTCGAAATTCTTTGAAATTCTTCGTTGTATCTGCGGGGAATTCAAACACTTTTCTAGACTTCTGCTTGTTTCCCCCAGCTGAAACCGCCAGCTCGCACCCTGTTCGGAAATACATATCCTATAGGAAATTACAATTCGCACCGTTGTTTTTCTTGGACTCCAAGCACAAATCCTATGGGAAATTACAATTCGCACCCTGGTCGGAAATACATATCCTATGGGAAATTACAATTCGCACCCTTGTTTTTCTTGGATTCCAAGCACAAATCCTATGGGAAATTACAATTCGCACCCTGTTCGGAAATACATATCCTATGGGAAATTACAATTCGCACCCTTGTTTTTTTTGGATTCCAAGCACAAATCCTATGGGAAATTACAATTCGCACCCTGTTCGGAAATACATTAAGTAGCCTCTGTTTCTTGGCATCCAGGTACAGCATCCTATGGGAAATTACAATTCGCACCCTTGTTTTTCTTGGATTCCAAGCACAAATCCTATGGGAAATTACAATTCGCACCCTGTTCGGAAATACATTAAGTAGACTCTGTTTCTTGGCATCCAGGTACAGCATCCTATGGGAAATTACAATTCGCACCCTTGTTTTTCTTGGATTCCAAGCACAAATCCTATGGGAAATTACAATTCGCACCCTGTTCGGAAATACATATCCTATGGGAAATTACAATTCGCACCCGCTCGCACCCTGATTAGCGCTTGTGTTTCTTGGATTCCAAGCACAAATCCTATGGGAAATTACAATTCGCACCCTGTTCGGAAATACATTAAGTAGACTCTGTTTCTTGGCATCCAGGTACAGCATCCTATGGGAAATTACAATTCGCACCCTTGTTTTTCTTGGATTCCAAGCACAAATCCTATGGGAAATTACAATTCGCACCCTGTTCGGAAATACATATCCTATGGGAAATTACAATTCGCACCCTTGTTTTTCTTGGATTCCAAGCACAAATCCTATGGGAAATTACAATTCGCACCCTGTTCGGAAATACATATCCTATGGGAAATTACAATTCGCACCCTTGTTTTTCTTGGATTCCAAGCACAAATCCTATGGGAAATTACAATTCGCACCCTGTTCGGAAATACATATCCTATGGGAAATTACAATTCGCACCCTTGTTTTTCTTGGATTCCAAGCACAAATCCTATGGGAAATTACAATTCGCACCCTGTTCGGAAATACATATCCTATGGGAAATTACAATTCGCACCCTTGTTTTTCTTGGATTCCAAGCACAAATCCTATGGGAAATTACAATTCGCACCCTGTTCGGAAATACATATCCTATGGGAAATTACAATTCGCACCCTTGTTTTTCTTGGATTCCAAGCACAAATCCTATAGGAAATTTCAATTCTCACCCTGTTCGGAAATACATTAAGTAGACTCTGTTTCGTAACAACATGTTGTTGATTATTGTCGCATGTTTCAAAGCCGTGAACGCCGGGATGTGTAACAGTAAAAACAAGGAGCCTTGAGCCCTGAGCAAAAGTACTGGTAATTATTCCAGCTTCTTGGCTTCTATCTCATTGATGATTCGATGTTTATGATGATGACTATAACGACGTTCTATGTGGATGATAACAACGATGACTGATGATGGCCGATGCTGATTATGATGACGATTGTGAATATGTCGTTGGCGATGTGTATGATGATATGTGATGATGATGTTGATGATTATAAAACCTGGGTTCTACGAAGAAGACTAGGGCTATGAAGACGATGATGGTGGTTTGATAATTATGACGAGCATGATGATGGTTTTAATAATTATGGCGAGGTTGGTGATGACCTTAATGGCGATTCTTCATATATTTATATCTGTTTACAGATATTACATATAGGTAGACACACACGTATATACATACATGTGTATGTATATACATACACAAACAATATATATATATATATATATATATATATATATATATATATAGATACAGACATGTATACATATATATATATATACAGACATGTTTGTGTATCTTCATATATATCTATATATACGCACCTATAAATATATACACATGCATGTATATACGTATGCGCAATTATGTATACATTTGTATGTGTGTGTAAATGAGTACATACATAGGTACATACATACATATATACATACATACATAGGCAGATACATCCATACATGCATACATACATAAGCACATGCATACACACACAGACACACACACACACATAAACACCTACACATACGAACATACACACCTGCACACCCACACACACATGTACATACATACATACATACATACATATACATGCATACATACAAACATACATACATACACACGTATATACATACATCTAAACCCTAGGCCCTAAACCTAAGGCCCTAAACCCTAGGCCCTAAACGTAAGGCCCTAAACCCTAGGCCCTAAACCTAAGGCCCCAAACCCTAGGTAAGGCCCCAAACCCTAGGCCCTAAACCCTAGGCCCTAAACGTAAGGCCCTAAACCCTAGGCACTAAACCTAAGGCCCCAAACCCTAGGCCCTAAACCTAAGGCCCCAAACCCTAGGCCCTAAACCTAAGGCCCTAAACCCTAGGCCCTAAACCTAAGGCCCCAAACCCTAGGCCCTAAACCCTAGGCCCTAAACCCAAGGCCCTAAACGCAAGGCCCTAAACCCTAGGCACTAAACCTAAGGCCCCAAACCCTAGGCCCTAAACCTAAGGCCCCAAACCCTAGGCCCTAAACCTAAGGCCCTAAACCCTAGGCCCTAAACGTATGGCCTAGGGGAGGGGGGGGGGAGGGGCTGAAAATCGGGCAGCATTTCCTTCCCCCAAGCATGCCGGTAGAAAGGGGAAAAAAAGAGAAAAAAAAACAAACCTCAACCGAATAAAAGGTAGAAAAAGGTAGAAAAAGGTAGAAAAAGGTAGAAAAAGGTAGAAAAAGGTAGAAAAAGGTAGAAAAAGGTAGAAAAAGGTAGAAAAAGGTAGAAAAAAGTAGAAAAAGGTAGAAAAAGGTAGAAAAAGGTAGAAAAAGGTAGAAAAAGGTAGAAAAGGTAGAAAAGGTAGAAAAACGAAGAAATGGGGATACCGTGTGTGTGTACAAATGAAAAAAAATGGTGTTGGGAACCAGGCATGTCTTGACAGACAGGCAGAAACCGGAAGATTTTGGAAGAAAATTGCAGAATTCCGACGAATCTAGAAGAATTTAGAAGAATTTAAAAGCATGCAGCAGTCTTACGTAGAACAGGGAAGACTACAAGGCTTGCTCCAGACACTCGCACCAAAAGCATTTGCATGAATTTTGCATAAAAAAACAAAAAAAATTCCTCGCTTCGCGAACATCCATATTTGTTTTCAACTCTAGTACTCCACACACACTACAAGGCTTGCTCCAGACACTCGCACCAAAAGCATTTGCATGAATTTTGCATAAAAAACAAAAAAATTTCCTCGCTTCGCGAACATCCATATTTGTTTTCAACTCTAGTACTCCACACACACTACAAGGCTTGCTCCAGACACTCGCACCAAAAGCATTTGCATGAATTTTGCATAAAAAAACAAAAAAATTTCCTCGCTTCGCGAACATCCATATTTGTTTTCAACTCTAGTACTCCACACACACTACAAGGCTTGCTCCAGACACTCGCACCAAAAGCATTTGCATGAATTTTGCATAAAAAAACAAAAAAATTTCCTCGCTTCGCGAACATCCATATTTGTTTTCAACTCTAGTACTCCACACACACTACAAGGCTTGCTCCAGACACTCGCACCAAAAGCATTTGCATGAATTTTGCATAAAAAAACAAAAAAATTTCCTCGCTTCGCGAACATCCATATTTGTTTTCAACTCTAGTACTCCACACACACTACAAGGCTTGCTCCAGACACTCGCACCAAAAGCATTTGCATGAATTTTGCATAAAAAAACAAAAAAAATTCCTCGCTTCGCGAACATCCATATTTGTTTTCAACTCTAGTACTCCACACACACTACAAGGCTTTCGCGCGCATTTGCATTAATTGCATAAAAAAAAACAAAAATTTCTTCGCTTCGCGAACATCCATATTTGTTTCGACTCTAGTACTCCACACACACTAATTACAAGGCTTGCTCCAGATACTCGCACCAAAAGCATTTGCATGAATTTTGCATAAAAAAACAAAAAATTTCCTCGCTTCGCGAACATCCATATTTGTTTTCAACTCTAGTACTCCACACACACTACAAGGCTTGCTCCAGACACTCGCGCCAAAAGCATTTGCATGAATTTTGCATAAAAAACAAAAAATTTCTTCGCTTCGCGAACATCCATATTTGTTTTCAACTCTAGTACTCCACACACACTAATTACAAGGCTTGCTCCAGACACTCACACCAAAAGCATTTGCATGAATTTTGCATAAAAAAAAACAAAAAATTTCTCGCTTCGCGAACATCCATATTTGTTTCGACTCTAGTACTCCACACACACTACAAGGCTTGCTCCAGACACTCGCACCAAAAGCATTTGCATGAATTTTGCATAAAAAACAAAAAAATTTCCTCGCTTCGCGAACATCCATATTTGTTTTCAACTCTAGTACTCCACACACACTACAAGGCTTGCTCCAGACACTCGCATCAAAAGCATTTGCATGAATTTTGCATAAAAAAACAAAAAATTTCTTCGCTTCGCGAACATCCATATTTGGTTTCGACTCTAGTACTCCACACACACTACAAGGCTTGCCCCAGACACTCGCACCAAAAGCATTTGCATGAATTTTGCATAAAAAAAACAAAAAATTTCCTCGCTTCGCGAACATCCATATTTGTTTTCAACTCTAGTACTCCACACACACTACAAGGCTTGCTCCAGACACTCGCACCAAAAGCATTTGCATGAATTTTGCATAAAAAAACAAAAAAATTTCCTCGCTTCGCGAACATCCATATTTGTTTTCAACTCTAGTACTCCACACACACTACAAGGCTTGCTCCAGACACTCGCACCAAAAGCATTTGCATGAATTTTGCATAAAAAAACAAAAAAAATTCCTCGCTTCGCGAACATAGCAAAGGGTTTCAATTTTCCACACACATAGTCTATTACTCTGTTACTCCATTACTCTATTATTCTATTACTCTATTACTCTATTACTCTATTACTCAAATACTCTAGTACTCTATTAGTCTACTACTCTATTATTCTATTACTCTATTACTTCACTACTCGATTACTCATATTTGTTTTCAACGCTAGTACTCCCACAAAGTGGGTGTTTTCACCCAAACCCTAAACCCTAAACCCTACACCTTTAGACCCGAACAACCGTAAGCCCTAAACCCTAAACCTTTAAACCCTGAACCTCGGAAGTTGGCACCCTAAACTTTGTGGGCCCCGAAGCTGACCAATACTAGACCTAGAATCTTTAAACCCTAAACCTCGGTGTTCCATTTTGGCAGGTCCTCGAGCCGTGCCAGGAAGCCTAAACCATGAGCCCTAAACCCTAAACCGTGTTTAAGCCTCAAATTGAAACCCTCACATAATTCGCATTTCTGCCACAATCTTCCAAATAATTTGTTTTTCTTCAATAATCTTCCAAATAATTCATTTTTCTTCAACAATCTTCCAAATAATTCGGTTTTCTTCAACAATCTTCCAAATAATTCAACAATCTTCTTAAATCTTCGGTAGTGGCTGAGAAGTACCCCTGCTGAGAAGTACCCCTAGGCTCATGAATGACTCAAGAACCTCAATAATTTCGCCATGACAAAAGCATGATCCATCCTGAGACCCCATTTAGGGTTCACCGTATACCTGGGAACTTGGTGCCTTTGACACATCAGGAAAAAGGGTTTTGGGGGTCGCTGTGTATTGCGACAGACCCCAAGACCCAGAGACCCCAATATCCCTTAATAAGGAGAGATACCCAAAATTATAGTAGGATCCTTAGTATGATTTAAGGTATATTCCCTAATTCAGGGATATTGGAGTCTCTGGGTACTGCTCCCCCACTGCCCCCAATCTCTAGCCGGTCGTAGGCTCCCCAGCGGCGGGGGGCAATCGGGCGGCAAGCCTCTCCTCTGTGGTTAGCGGCAGGCACACTTCCTGCCATGGGGTGTAAGGTTCTGAAGGGCGAGCCGGGCTTCTGTCGAGGTACCTGAAACTATACATCAACGAGATCATCTATGTTGTGGCTCCGTGTACAAAACCAACAAATACATATACGCAGAATGAAAAGGAACAATTAAGGATACTTGTGCACCCACAAAACAAAGTAAGTGTGTCTATCGATCTAGATAGATAGATCGACAGGTAGTTGTGGCATTTAGCATTTGGGTCCCTATAATGTGCTATATAATGGGTATATAACAGCTATATATATATTAAGGGTATATACCTAGGGATCCTTATTAAGGGTCCCTCCTTTTGCCCTTGGACTTACGGGTTCCTCTGAGGCTTCCCGTTTTTCGGGTTCAGGATTACTTGGAGGGTCGGGGGACTTAGTAAGTAGGTAGTAAGTACACATATAAGTACCCTAAAAGGGACCCTAGTTGGGGTTATGGAACTTATAAGTCTCTAAAATAACCAGTTACTAAGTCCCCCGACCCTCCAAGTAGGGACCTTAAACCCCACCTGGACCCGAAGAAACCTAGATGTGTGTTTAGGGGGTTCCCTAATTTATATAGGGTTTCCATATAGAAGTCCGTAAAAATATAGGTGTACCCGTAGTCTCCACTGTAGCTCCTGTTGGGGTCATATAAAGGTAACTCGAAAAGGACCTACAATTGAGACTTTTGGTAGCGGGTTAGGGTTTCAGGGTTTAGGGGTTTGCTGAGCTTAGTGGTTGAAGGGCTTTAGGGATGAAGGGTTTCAGGGCGTACGGGCTTCAAGGGTCTGAGGGTCTAGGACTCGAGAGTTCAAGGGTCGAGGGTTTATGGGTCTGAGGGTTTAGGGCTCAAGGGTGTTGAAGGTGTATTGGCAATTAAAAGGGTTCAGCCCAATGGTTGTTTAAGGTTCAGGATTTAGGGGTTTAGGGTTTAAGGCTTAGGGGTTTAAGGGTTCAAGGCTTGTGGGCTTAGGAGTTTCACGGATTTAAATTTGGCGCTTTGAGACTGTCTGGCCAACGGCTTGGTTACTTAGGAGCCAGTGTTCTTCAAAGACCAAGCTCGTGATGCTTGGGCCTTGCAAGTGTCCAAAATGCTAAGAATTTGTACCCCCCGGGGTTCCCTCCTTTTCTCCTTAAGAGGAACCCTCAACAGCTCACGGCCTCCGCGTATGTACTCTTGGAGCTGGGAGTCGGAAATTTGTTTCTGATGGCGGCCCTGGCAGATTTTGAATTGGGGTTCAGAGGTTCAGGATTTAGGGTCTACCTGGACCCCAAAAGTGTGTAGAATAATAGCATCTTATAGATTTTGGGCTAATATTTTACGTACTTTTGAGGGTTTAGGTATAGGGTGAAAGTTCAGGGGTTGGTTTTTTTTGTTTAGGGATTTCTGGCTCCTGTAAGGATCTATACGGGTCCTTGTAGGGCTTTATAAAAGTGCTCTTCTAGGGATTTGGGGCTCCTTTATAACGGATCTGTAGGGAACGGAAGGGTTTCATTTTAATGCCGATTCAAGATTCAAAGCTTTGGCGAGGGAGGATACTGTAGCAGGTTGAACGTCGTTAGTCCCTAAACTGCAGTCGCTTCATCCACACAACCAGCTCCAAGGCTACCGGGTTTGGGGGTTTTAGGGTTTTTAGGGTTTAGGCTAAACCGCAATACAAACCCTAAACCTAAAACCCTAAATCCCCCCAAAAACAAACCCCTAAACAACTCCACTCACTCCTAAGCTTGCAGCTCTAAACTCCACCAGCACCCGAAATCCCAAACTACCCAAGTCGTTGACGCAACAGGCTAAGCAACAACAAGCAACATCCTAAACTCGGAACCCCCCCCACCCTCAAAAAACATCATTAAACTCTCTAAACACCGGAGAAGTGGCTGTCGACTGCCCCGGAACATGCGAGGCTAGCGAGCCGCTTTTGAAGATGGCGGCCATCTTCCCGTTCTCCTAGTCAGTGGCTGTTTGCTTGTTGCTCTAAGCTTAAGGTTTAGGGCTTACCATGCAAGGGTTCATGAGTTCAGTTTAGGTTTCAATAAATCGTGCATGGAATACGAAAATGTGTTGGCGGACATAACTTTACACACAGACATACATACATGCATGCATCCATACGCCTATATATACGTGCATATGTACATACATCCGTACATCCATCCATACATGCATACATACATGCATACCTACCACATACATGCATGTCTATACACAGATACATTCATGCATACATCTGTATGTATGTATATATACACATTGGCATGTAGAGATGTACATAATGTATATGCATGTACTACTAACTCGCTCACGGCCTTACAAAACCTTTGTACGCTGCAGCTTAGAAACCCGTAACACACAATGTAAAATCCTATAGCAAAACAACGGAATACCCTGTTCGAAACCTGCATAGACAAAAACACTGATGAAGCCCTTAACGGCCTTACAAAGCTCTACAGCACCAGTGAACATGCGGAGGGTAACTTACAAAATCCACCGACCCTCCGAAGGAAACCCTAAGCCCCAAAACCGAAAGAACGGCTGCCCAGGCACAATATGATCTCCCAAAGGTTTCCGGGCCTGGACACGCGTGAAAGCGAGGCTGTGAGGGCCCTTAGGGTTTGGGGGCTTTAGGTTGCTTGGTCAGTTTAGGGTTAGGGTTCATTTAGGGTTTAGGATTTAGGGCTTAGGGCTTTGGTTTAGGGTTTAGGGTTTAGGTCCTTAGGGCTTTAGATTACAGGACTTCGACATAGGATGTCGCATAGGGTGCAGGATCTCGGCTTCGGGGGCCTGAGATTTTAGGATATTCCGGCCTGAAGTTGCAGGCTTAGGGCACGAGCAGGATCCCCGACGACTGAGATGTGATTTTAGGATCAAGGCGACTTGGAAGGGGATGTTCCGGCGCCTGGGCTAGCGTGCAGGGCTTTGGGCCTAAGTTTCTGGGTTTAGATGTGGGAGTTTCCGAAAATAGGCGACCCCAATATAGTCCCCTCAATAATAGGATCCTTAATATAATAGGGAACCCCAATAAGGTACCCCGAGTTTTCGGAAACTCCCATGTTACTGTTCCGATGCCAACTGCAATGAAGACTCGGTTGTAACACACCAATCAAGCTTGAGGAAACAACTGAGCCCTGAGCCCGAAAACCCTCATCCAGACAACCCTGATGCCTAACATCTTCAAATCTACCCAAAGGGCCCATCCTTACTCCCACTATCGAACTACTTTTTGAGGCCCCATTGTATAAGGAAACCATGTTCCGGAACCCCCCCTCTAAATAGGTAGGTTTCCTCGGGTCTAGGTAGGTTTAGGGTCCCTAAATCCTGAACCCGATAATCTCCTGCAGTCAGGTCGCGAAGTCTGTGGAGTAGATGCAGCTAGATCTATCCAGCAATGGCGCCTGGGCCAACTCCAGGGTCAAGCGTGTAGGTATATTATATAATAAGCGCAAGAAGAATTTTACAGGATTAACATGGGCCTTAAGAATGGGAATCTTGAAACAGGGTTTGGGGATTGTGTGTCTCAGTGTAAGCTGTGGCTGTTGTCGTAGTGCTTTCTTCTTGTACGGCTGGGGGTGCTGGGTGCGGTGCAAGCTCTTAGCGGCTAGAGGTTGTATGTATGTCTGTATGTATGCATGCATATAACTATGAACATGTATGTATATATGTGTATATATATATATATGTATATGTATATATATGTACATATATATATATATACATATGAAGAGAGAGATTTTTCGGCATTAGGCGGTCTAGGGTTTAGCGTTTAGGAGTTGAGCGTCAGGCTTTCAGGGTTGCGTGCAGGATTCAGGACTGGGATATGAGCTGCACCAAACACCTACGTTTGATCTGGATGTATATGTAAAAGCACAGAACCACTTACAACAGGTTGTGCATCATGTCTTGCTGCTGCCACCCTCAAACAGATCATAGAGTTGGGAGGAGCGCTTGGACTTTTGGGGGCTCCCGCTTGACATTCGGAAGCCAGAAGTACACCCTGGGGTCTAGGGTTTAAGGGGAGTGGGGAAGGGTCCTAAGTATCCGTTTTGTGCAAGGCGGGGTTTCCGCATCAGGAAGTACAATCGTGTTTCCATATCCCCTATATTGCATGATCCTGAACCCACCCCTACACCCTGAACCCAGAAACCCTTTTGGGGAAGGAGTCTCAAGGTTTCAGGGGGATCGGGCTTGAATGGCTTAGGGTTTCATATGGGGGGTCTTAACATCAGGAGTTCGGATTAGGGGGACCCTTGGAGACAAAGACCCGCTCAACAAGGAGGAGGCTTCCCTTTACAAGTCTTAATGTCTTAATCATTATAACAGGGCGTTGGGGTATATACACCTACTAAAGGAGCGCTAAAGGCATGATCGTGGAGTTTTGCACTTCGCTATGTTAGGGGTCTGAGGGTCTAGCAATTTAGGTTCAGGTGCTTGCAGGCTGAGGCTGTGACTCAAGTTCGAAAGCCTACACGTGGTAGATTCTGGTAGATGTAAAATGAACCCTGAGACCGAAGCAAGAAATCCAAACCCATACCCCGAGGCCAAACCCCTCAATGTCTACCCACCCATCCTTCCACCCAAACCCGCGAGCCTGCCGCAACTGAACGCCCATATACTTTGTCCGGCGCTGGCCTGGGTAGAACTTTCTCATCTTCAAGGATTCAGGGATCTACCAAAAGTCTCCATTGAAGTTCCGGTTAGGGCGTTACCTTACAGGACCCTAATTATGCATGTGGTCCAACCAAAACACGGACCTACCGTGGAGACTATAGATAGGATCTGCAATGAAAAGAGAGTAGGGAAATTCCCAAACCCCGATCTCACAGGGGAAAAGGAGGGACCATTAATGGGGACCCCTACCCTATAATGGGGTATATAATGGGTATACAATAGCTATATTGAGTCATATTGAGGGTATATGCCTAGGGGTCCTTATTAAGGGTCCCTCCTTTTACCCTTGGGCGATCGACACTCTGCCTCAAGAGCTTACTTGACAGGCTTTTTGAGTTCAGGGATCTTGCATTTTGGCCTACGGGTGGAATATAGGGTCCTTGATAATTTGAATATAGGTTTTGGTGTATTTAATATTATAATTTGAATAAGGTTTTGGGGTATTTAATACTCTAATTGGGATAAGGAGCGCCCCAAAATAGGATTGGTAATCATTTAGGCTTCTATAGCAGTGCTCTCAAGCATCCCCTTAATAATGAGGGTACCATGGTTCCTACTATTTGGTTTTAGTGAGGGAACTCGGAACTCGCAAAGAAAAATCCGAAGGGTACTGCTGGGGAACCTAGTCGAGCATAGTGAGCATTTGCGGGGCGACAGGCACCATGGATCACGCAGCAAGACGAAATTCAAGCTATGAAGAACGACAGCTATCCCTACTTTGGGAGCATATTGGGATTGTATAGAGGTTACCCACTCAACTACTAGGGATTCCATTCCGAGACCCGTCCCCAAGCTATATAGCTGCGACGCTTCCCGATAGTTTCAATTGCCACGCGATAAAGAATGACTAGCATGACTAGCAATGACCGTCTAGACAAGCACAGCGCTAGGGCAAGCATTCCTTGACGGTGTAGTCGAATGGATATAGTCGTGCTTGGGGGTGGCGACCTGAATAGGAGTTCAAGGGTAGCCGGAGGGCTGTAAATTCAGGGTTGGCTGTTTCAATCTCGGCCGTAGGATTTGAGTAGTGTTGGGCGTAGCTAGACTTTGCCTCAACGGCATGAATCACTGCAGACTGGAGGTTCAGGACAAGCCGGTAAAGCCAACAAAGGCGAGTTTCCCAAAGTTCCTGGTCAAGCAACAAGGGAGAAACAGCAAGAAGACGTGACGCAGCCACCTAGGCCATACATTGCATATGCATCCCTGCATCCCATATCGGTTCAGGGCGGAGGGGTGGAGCTTGGCCACTCAACCCTAAAACCCACACCCCCAAGTCTAAAGCCCTAAACCCCGGTCTCCAGTACGCAGACCGCTCACCCGAGCCACCCGACCGATGTCAAAAATCTCCTGCGAATACGGAAAACCATGGGTTGGATGCGGGGTAATGTACCTAGGGGCCTTACCAAGTAGAACAGGGTCTTGGGCTCCTCTGTGATATGAGTCTTATGGGGAGCTCTACAAGGAATAATATTGCTTGAAAAGGCTTCAATATGAAGCGATGATCTTTCTTCATGACTGTCATGTGATTGCGACTGGTCTTGGTGGTACATTCGCCTTGTCGGTTGTCCCCTCTTCGTATCGGCGTTCTTCTCAACGACACAAGATATGTGAGAGTGGGGGCCCCGTCTTCAAGGGGTCTTTGTGAGGACTCGACGTTTTAGGCCTTGTACCAGGGTCCTTTGATGAGCGAGAACTGCCATGTAGTCATGCATAAGAAACCATAAGGCTATGTGTAGACTCTCTAAACAGTGTCACAAGGCCCTGATAAACCTTAGTATACTACTTGCATCATGATTACTGTCACCAAAGCGGGCTCCGACGGCTCTACGAGCCTCGGTTCGGGTTTCGGGAAACTGCCGTGGCTTGCAAAGCATCAAGCCTACGTGCTAAACTTTGCAGCCTCTCCCTATAGTCTCCGTTGTAGTTCCTTTCATGGTTTAACCAAATAAATACGTAATTAGGATCCAACAAGCTTAAAACGGAACTACAATCTACAATGGATACAATAGGTAGGTCCTAAGGTCCTAAATTCTGAAACACTTAGTTTAAATTACCAGAGTAGGGATCTATAGTAACTATTTTAACTAAATGGGTTCCTCATTATGGTAACCCCTACTTGGACGTTCATGGGTGGTGAGAATAGGGTTATAAGTAGGGTAACTATACTTACAATCCATGTTCTGGGACTTATAATTCCACTTATAGCGACTCATAAACCTCCAAGTAAACCCTAAACCCTAAACCCCCTGAGAAGAAGGAACCTCCAAGTATCTTCTGAAACCGGGACTGGCCCTACGCAGGTCGGACTTGCTTCTCGCACGCGCTTATCGATGCTCAAGCCTCGATGCCTCAAAAAACCCTGTAATCTAGAGGCTTAACTTTTGTCGAATAGGGCTCCTTTAAAGGGATCCCCTGAAAGGGTTACTACAAGGGCTCTTTAATAAGGTTTGTTTTAGGGGCCTTAATGTTTGGAAAAAACTCAAATGTACATTTTCTTTTTGGACGGGGGCACTTGTTGTTGTTTGTGCAATTTACCCCCCCCCCCCCCCCCCCGGCCCCCCAAAAACCTTTCTAATGATGAAGGCCCCATAATAACCTCAACCGCTGAGGCGGTATATGCCGGTCTGCGATGACAGCTTGGCATCACATGGAACCCTGCAACACATTGCTGAATAGCATAGGAACATGACACACAAAACTCTGCAAGCACCACCGAGACCCTACTCCCCAGCTGCCCCCGACAAGCTCGTTTGTTTATGGTAATGTATGGCGCCACAGCCTGGAAGTTCTCCGAATACTGCTCCTTCTCCATAGGCCGCAACCACCCTGGCATGGAGTTGCTTGAGCCTCTCAACCTTTGTCTCATCTCTTCTGCCTCCTTCCCTCCCTCCCTCTCTTTCTCTCTCTTTCTCTCTCTTTCTCTCTCTTTGTCTCTCTTTCTCTCTCCTCCCTCTCTTTCTCTCTCTTTCTCTCTCTTTCTCTCTCTTTCTCTCTCTTTCTCTCTCTTTCCCTCTCTTTCTCTCTCTTTCTCTCTCTCTCTCTCTCTCTCTCTCTCTCTCTCTCTCTCTCTCTCTCTCTCTCTCTCTCTCTCTCTCTCTCTCTCTCTCTCTCTCTCTCTCTCTCTCTCTCTCTCTCTCTCTCTCTCTCTCTCTCTCTCTCTCTCTCTCTCTCTCTCTCTCTCTCGCATGCATACATAGATACATCAACATACATGTGCACATCCACGTCCATTCCACATGCCTACTCACGAATTAGTGCCCATACTCCTTGGATGTTGAAGCGAAGTTGACTGCAAGGACTGTGCGAAGTCCTGTAGATCCTATACCTCGACTCCAACCCTCCAACCCCACACCCTCATTATTGAAGCCCAAACCCTAAATCCCGAGTCCTCGGTGAAGGCAGAAATCCCAGACCTTCTGTCATGTCTTTTGCGCGTTTCGCAAATCGTTTCTCGCTTCAACCACGCCGCACATGATGATCAGCAAGAAGGAGAGAGCGAGAGAGACAGAGAGACAGGGGGAGAGTGGAAGAGGTAATGTGTGAGAGACAGGCAGAGCGAGAGAGAGAGGTATGAAAGCATTCAGAGTGTAGCGATGACGCAGTTCTGAGCACATGAGATTAGGAGGGTTTGAATATTTCTGGTGAACAGACTTGGCAGTGTCATCGTCGATGCAGCATCTCCGACCCCGAAAAAAACAGGTCGGATGGCCATAGCTGGAGCCAGTGGTTGTGGAATAAGTGAGCCTGCAAAACTTCAAGGCTTTCCGAAACCCTGAACCCTAAGCCAAAAAAACCCTAAACACTAAACAACAGCAGAACCCTTAACCCTAAACCCTGCGCCCTCAAGAAAAGCCAAACCCTAAACACGATTATCGCTCCTTGTCGGGTTGACAGCCAAGAACAAGGGTTTAGGATTTGCGGAGACTTTATGGAGGTAAGGGTTTCGGGCGTATCACGACAGCGGGGAGAACAGCTCCCGGTCCTTCTTGTATCTTCGCATGCTTAACACTGCTCATTTTAAGGCTTTGGGGCAGTTTGCTATCAACAAGACCCTTAAGGAATCTCCCAGTCCGAAAGAATAACAGAACTCCCGGTGCGGAAGGACACACCGCCTGTGCAGATGGGTCTCACTAAAGCCCAAGGCCTGCCCTAAATCCTAGTCCGCATCAGGCCCCCCCAAGTGCCTTTTGATAGAGCCCTGATTTAGGGCATCATCAAGGGGAGTTATGAGTTGGGGGGTCTAGGCAGACCCCAAACTCACCCGGCCTCACTCCGCTGCAGAGCTTTAATACTTAACAATTTGAGCCTGCCTTATGCCTACATAAACCCTGCAGGACCCTTATAGAGCTAGCGGGGGTCATTCCCCAGTTCATCCCACGCCCTGATCCCCACCCAACGCTTCCACCCCATTTCTACAACAGCACCCTAAATTCCACCTCACACCACACCTAAACGCATAATCTTACCCATACTACAACTACCCTTCCGGCATGAACTGGGAAATGCCCCCATAACCCTGAACTGGGGGATGTCCCCTTCGTCGAAATTTGGTGAATTAACTAGTAGAATGCTGTTCATTTAGCAACAATGCCAACACTTATGATAGTTCCTCGGTCTTTCCATTACATATATGGAAATCTATTTGGTCCAACCCTTCTTTACTGCAAACCAATCTGTTTCCGTGTTTGCTATGAGTTTGTAACACATTTCCATGATGTGATGACCTTATGACGATCATATTTGTACCAATACTTATCTATCTCGTGTTTTGAAGCTTACTTCTACTTCTGTCATTGCTGGTTCAGATGGCAAATGTGTGTTGGTTTCTATTACGTTTATTTGTTGTTCGCGCTCTCCTGATTCTGCGGTTAAGCTGCAATAAACTGCCTTAAATCAGGCGCTTCTTCATTATATACGGTTTTCCTTTAAGAATGTATTAGTAATTTCTTCTTGTTCTGCCTCTGTGTATGTCTCAATCATTCACTCACCGCTGAACTAAGGTACTTTGTCTTTAACTGTTTTTTGTAAACTACGGCTGCTGATAGACAATTTTGAGTGAACTTGGAAATGCCCGCCCCCTCCCATTAGACAACTCCCCCAAAGATCATAACCCTGTCCTTTGAATGCCATGACCTAGACTACTACTTTCACAGACAACTACCATTACTGTATGCTCTTGTCTTCTTGCTGCTTTTCTCTTCTCAAAACGTCCAATAGCAGTGCCTTACACGAGCCATAGTCGTGCAATTGTTTTCAATAAATGGCACACCAGTTGAAGGCGTGGATAACTGCGTTCCTTATCAAGTTCAGGTCATTATTGACTTCAGACATTCCCCTGTGTGTTTTTGTATTCAGGAGCTTCTGCCCTTAGCATATTCGTTTCCAATTCCTTAAACGATTTTTTGTAATGTAAGGTTTGTGTAAATCACGATATCTAACATGCTCTCAGCTGGTCATCGTATTTATGCTCATTGCAGGTGGAAACTTAATGTCCTTGTTACTCCAGTCTATTGCGAAGCATTCTCTGATTCTTGTAAACGTCACTATCTTTGTCTTTATCCGTTGGTGTTTTAACCTGTTTCTTTTCTATATAAGGGTCTTGGACTAAAGTTTGTTAAAATAAGCGCCAAGACCGTTATAAAGAAATTGCTTTCTTGTACGCGTTTGTTAACTAATCATCTCCTGCACAATGTGTTGGATTATTTGTTTTTATCTAACCTACGAAAGCATCTCACATTACGACATATCTTACAGTTTGGACAATATCCAATGTCATTCATTTCGTATCACATTCGTACTTGTCACGGCTTCGCCCTGCGGGGGAGCGAAGTCACCCATCAATAACGTTAAAATGGTACAGTGATCTTATCTACATAGGTTGTCCTTTTATTAACTGCTTCTATAATGAAACTTCAAAAGTCATATCGCGAACGCCTCGCGAGGACTCTGCCAAAGCCTCCCATAAGATAAAACAAATTGATTAAGCACCATCTTATGTGATGCTGTTGAAGGCATCTCACTACCTTTCATGAGCTAATCCAACGTGAAACCATAGGGTCGCAAGCACAGGGGTTTTCTTCTCCTCTTCCAACTTAGCATAGTGCCCTGTCAATACACAATAGAAATAGATCTTTCATCCATCTTCTTTTTCAGCTTACTATTAAAAGAACATCGGTTTCGAGGCGCTCCACTCTCTCTTCTAATTCCTCTGGTGTTACTTGGCTTTTACCCATCCTGTATCGCATATGTCAACAACTCCTGCATGTAAGCCATTATCTGGTTTAAAAGAACATCGGGCGAAGCATGCCCACCGGAACAAAATCTAGTATTTCGGTCACCAACAACAGTATTAGCTGTAATTTTGCCATATTATTCAACAGCTTCTGTCTCCTGCAGTGATACGACTGTCCTTTACAACGGAAGGGAATACAAGCTATACCAGGGGCATTAAACCGAAATCCTTTATCGTTGTTTCACTTATATCACTCATTTTCACTCCTTAGACGTTTTGTGATATTCCTCTAATAAAAAAAGCTGGTTTCAACAACGTTAACCAATGATGACAACATCGCCTTATAGGGTGTGAAACTTCTGCAAAACCGTCATATTCAGCCTTGTGTTCAATAACGAAAGTCTTTGCGACTGATATACTCCATTCAAAACGAAAGAAATATACCTGAATACATATACCAACAAAGCAAATATGAAATGACGCCAAAGTTACCTTTCCGTTCAAGTGTTGTAGCATCAGGCACGGGTGGCAAAACTGTTCTCATCCAAAACCGTTTCATGAATACATGCTCTGGTTCTTCCGAAAAATATACATCTTCAACTCACAGTGACCGTGCCCTTTACGATGTTAAGAAATACCAGAAAGAAGTAAATGAAAGTGGCTGATACAAAAGACGATCTGTATATTGAAGGGTTCAATCCGTCAAAAGAAAGTCATTAAGTTTCAGAGCAACAATATGTGATGCAGTCCAGCATATGTACCGTACTTGACGACCATAGCAGCGACCCAACCCTTACTAGATATTCTACTATGCTACACGGCATTTTTTGCGAGGAGCAGGCATCAAGTGTATCTCATCACTACACAAATGCTTTCCTACTGCTCCAACCATTAGGTTAAATGCGAGTTCATCGTATATATCTGAGCTTAAAATATGACAAAGGTTACTAGCTTCTGGAATCTTAAAATAAAACAGCACCCTTCTTGAGAAGAAAGTTTTGCAAGATCCGTACCCGTAGGCTGCAAGTGCTGCTGCTTATTCACTCCTCTTTATAAATATATGAAAAAGCGTATAAAGGTACTGACGAGATGTTTGATATTCGCATTGAGAAGGCATCTATTAGTCATGGCGCAGAAGATTGAAACATTATTGGCAAACACATTATTAAACAAAATTTACGGTAACAAAAAAATTGAACTGACAGTTTATAGTGCAGTCCAACACGTAGCCGTTGTTTCTTTGATTATGCTTTTCGATGCGACCAATACATTGCTTAATGCTGTGAAAATCATAGAACATCATTGTGACTTTTTCAATATCAAAAATCCCGAGTATATCGCGAGCTAGAAGTTGGAGATTGCGTTAAAACAATTCAAAAGGCATTAGTGAAAAAGAAAAAACCTGGGGTGAGAACCCCCCCAGAAAGTTAAACGAATAGAAAAGAGATGGGGACAAATATATTCGCTTTCAAGAGGAGAACAGTTGATATTTACGCCACGAGTTGCTAAAGGTATAAAACACCTGCTAAAATAAAGAAGTCGCTTGAGCCTCGCGAGGCTGCGTCAGAAGACGAGGCGTCAAAACAAGCGTTGTTTGAACATGTTAAGTGTTTCTGTTACGTTGTTCTGTTTTTCTTTGTTGTTGTTTCTCGTGTGGTTTGCTGGTTTGTTTTGTTCGTATGGTTTGTTTTGTTCGTATTGGGTTTCGCTGTGTATGGTAGCATGTGTTGTAAACAAATTCGCTTTGTGGGTTTATCGATGTCTTGAAACCAACAATTTATTTACGTTTGACCTCCGTAGTCTGTTTTTGTGTTTTTCTGGTTTCATTTTCGTTACAAAGGATTTTTCACATACTACCCTATTAAATGCCTTGTAAAACCTGACAGCGGATGCACTCTGGAACTCGGACTCGCACAGCACCCCTTTCTTCCCACCCTCCCGCCCTCCAGGTGTTTACGCCACGAAGTTTGCAAGCAACTTGCCAAACAAAATGGCAGGCTGAACAAACATGCTGTATGAACAACTAGACCATGTTTGTTGCTTTGGCGCGTTTCGCTTGTTTTATCTGGTATGTATATATATATATATATAGAGAGAGAGAGAGTATATGTTTAAGAATGGTGCTTTTGTGGGTGCATCTATGTCCTAAACCCATAAAACTATCTACATTGCATGCAGTGTGGTCTTGGGTACTTTATGGTTCGCTTGCATTTCCTACCTACTAACAAACCGTTTATTCACAAAAAAAGAACAACCCCCTATAAAATCCTGCCCAGCGCTGCTCCACGCATGGGGGCTTTCTGCGTCCAGTTAGTAGGATTTCTGAGAGCTCGGCAACGGGTCTCAATGATAGGAAGCGCCGAGGACTCACAAAAACCCTAAACTATCATCCTAAACCAAGACACTACAAACCCTCAACGCCTTTACAAGCCTTACAACCCGAGACGCTGGCCCCCTTCTCTCGATATGTTGGAAGTCGTCGTCCCTGGCGGAGTTGTTGACCTGGCATGGTCTCAAGTGGCATCTTTAGGGCGGAAGTTACGGCCGTAAAAGGCATAAGCACAACTGTGCCCAAATCTGCTGCTGCATGCCTGGCACTCTTGTTCACAAGGAGGCGTTTCTGAAGTCCGGAGCCGCGCTAACAGTGCCAGGAGTGTGCCCTGATGCATGTCCCTCTTGCAGATTTCCGAATCAGACCTGTCTTTTTCAACTCAATATCATCATCATCGTTGCCATGACTATACTCGTCAGAACGGCGATTGCTGCAGCCACTGTTTGCAGCGAGTGCTGGAACTGGAGGCCAAAACTGTGTGCTACAGTATTGAGAAGCTCTCACGCAAACGCTCCGGATAAAGGCCAATGTCCATTCTCCGTGGTATCCCCCGCAGTCAGGCGAAAAGAGTGCAAAACAAAATCCTCTCTCGTCAGGCAAGGGCTTGTAACTACACTGCTGCTGCTAACTGACAAACCGCAGTTTAGAACCGAAAAGATGAGCTTTCATTTTCGCTCTGGCTCTGTGTTAATCTTCAACACAGCCACAACATTCAGGATGTTTCCAATCGTTTCTGATGCATGTGTAGCATACAGCATGTCCGCAGCCCGGCCCTGCTCCAAGGGCTCAATGCAATGACGCTTCAAATCGTCGATGCACTCCTGAATGTCTTCTTGCACTTTACCTTGCAATAAGCACTTAATGAACGTTTTAACCATTCTCATTTCGTCTAGCTGTTGTCTAGCATGTCGGAATTGGGTCTCGGACTCACAGACGGTCAGCCCCACGTACAAGAGCCTCCCAACAGGGATGAGCCATACTGCAGTGGCGGCACGGTAAATGGGTTTCCCCAAGTCAAAGGCATCAGCAATTGTACCGAGGTCACCGAGTTTGAGTGCAGCAATGACTAAGGCAGGAGACAAAGCAACGGCCGCGGCTAGGAAGACCTCATTGTAAGCCTTCTTGAGACACATCTGCTGTTTGTCAGCTTCTGCCAGAGTGGCCTCAATGCTTTTCTCTACACTGTCTTTGATTTGCTGCCCCTGCTTCTTGATTGGGTCAAACTCCGTCTTGGCACCCTCCAGAAGGTTAACTGCAAACTTCAAGCTCTTGAGATCTGGGGACGTTCCAGAGCACTTCCGCCACAAGAGCTTAGACAGTGTGATCTCCTTCCCATTGCGTACCGCTTCGCATATCAGCTTGTTGGCCTTTTCGAGCCTTGGCATCAAACGTTGGGTGGCCTGGGAATTGCTGCCCACAAGCATCTTAGCGTCCTCGATGTTCTGTTCATTTTGATACCTTAGTCGGATTGGGAGCTGCCAAATCGCCGAGCCAACTTCCATGAACTTGCCAAAGGGTGTACTGGTTCCCTCTGGCTTCGGTTGCAACTGGCCGTGCTCATGGCCAGGGGTCGGTGGCACAGGCGGTGGAACCGGCCATTGATTCTCTGTGCAGAAACGTGCCAGGTGTCTGCCTCTCCACAGGCAACTCCTGGTCTGCATACGCCCGGCATGTCCAGCAAGGACACTCATTGCTGGGCAGCACTTGCTTCTAGTTGAGACAAACAGCTACATGACCAAAGTCGGCACAGTTGAGTCACGAGGATGTCTTCCTCTCTAAATGTCTCATTTCAACCAACTGCATAGCAGATTGCAGAGAAGAGTCTGCAAACGTGCCAGCCGCGCTACTTGCTTCTCGATGAGGATGTCCAGAAACGTGACATGTGACGAAGATCAATTGGGGTTGTGGAAAGTTGTCGATCAAGGGGGGGGGCGGACATTTCTCATTTCAAAGGTTTGTTTGGGTGGCTTTGGTTCAGGGTTTGTATTGGATGAGGTTAAGAATTTGGGTTGCTGTTGTGACTGGAGGTTTTCTAGTACAGTAGGGGGTCAAGTTCGAGTTCATGCCAGTAGAGCAGTTTCGTTATGGATAAGGTTGTGGGTTGAGGTGGATGCTTTGGTTAGGGTTATGGTATAGTTCTGGGTGAAAGCTGGGGGCGGGAGGTATAGGCGAGGGCGTATGGCATGAGCGGGGGATGAATCCCTGCAGAAAACATTAAAGCCGCCTTTTACAAGCCCTGAAGGAAGCACTTGGCCTCATGAGATCTTCCTTACCCTGAGCCGCCACCTGAGATGCCGTGGTGCTATGTCTGCAGCTCCGTGTGACAGATGATGATGAACAGAAAAATAGTAATGATAGAAGTAGTCGCAGTCAGTGGTGATTCCTAATGATGATGATGATGATGATAATGCTTGTAAAAACAGAAGAATCACGGCCGCAATAGAAATAACAAGAACACCAATAGTAGTGGTTGCACTGATGATGATGATGATGATGATGACGATGATAACAACATCGCAATATCTATGAAAGCCTGATGACGACACGTGGAAAAGTAGTAGCTACTATCATCGTAACAATCACAGTTCGAAGACAGAGTTACGATAGCAGCAACCGCTATTACACTAATATTGACGGTGTTCTGTAAGGGTTACGGCCGGGGCTGCAAAATGGGTACAATTTAAATTTAAGCGGGTTGCTGATGGGATTACCATAACGGCTACTGCAGGGTTTAGTACGAGAGTTCGGCGTCAAAGCTCCGTTTGAGTTTGGGGCTGAGGACTTCGAGTTAAGTCTACAACCAGCACCTAAGGAAATGGAAGTTTCCGTTCTTGTATCGACCATGTACTAGCGCGCCACGCGCAGATGCATGACCCTGTCATCTTCTGCTGATGCGCTAGGGCTAAACCCTCATAACCCATGACCGCTTGAACCATTGAAACCCAGATGGTAAACCGTCGAGCTGCGCATGCTAGACCTAGATCCACTAAAGCCTTACTGCTCAAGCCCAAATCCCAAACCCCGAAACCACAAATCAGAACGGCCTACACCTTAAACATTGACCGAGCCGTCATTTATGCGGAGGCTCTGAAGCAGCAGCACTCATCCTCCCATGAACCCTCAGAGGAGTTGTAAACCACTGATTGCCTAAACTCAATTTAACGGCACTACATCCGCAAACCTAAGCAACATATTTCTGAACCTGCAAGCTTTCTTCGCTCCCGCGAAGGTGGCTACTTCAGGTGCCCGAAGAGTCACACTAAGATTTTGGCGGTGTCGTATCACGTAAAAGAGAACCAAGAGGGTGCTCATTTCTTGCGGCCTTCTCTATATTATAGGAGTTTCAGATATAAGAAGCCTAACATTTCCAGGAGATCCTCTTTATTTCGATCGTCCACACTTTCAAGAGCAAACCCCAAAGTAGAAATCGCAAACTCTTATACAAATTCCTTGTTACAGTTCTTTGATGCTAACACAAACAGGCAAATTGAGGAGTCGAGTGTGCAGCCTAAGCGGCAAGCAAGCTCCTTGCTGTCAGGACCCGAAGCCTGCACCTTAAAGCCTAAACCTTAAACCCTGCATTATTAAGGGTCCAACTAGTCCATGTTTGTGGCTGTTGGTACCCAAAGCGTCCCCGAAGTCCTGCAACAAGTATGCTTCCTTGGGCATCCCGACAGCGCTCGGCGAGGCGAAAACGCCCTGATCGGGCATGCGCGGCATCCCTGAAGCGAGGGAGTCTTAATCTGAACCTTAAGAAACCTACCCTTTTGGGGCTCGTTGCTATGATTTCCTTATATAGGTCCATCAATTGTTAGTTTTCTTCAGGGCCAAGGAAGGGCTTGTAGGGTCCAGGGTCAAAAGGTTTAGGTGAGAGCCGTAGAATCTGTTGGTTTACGCGTTGAAGGCTTTGGTTTCAGGGCAACAGTGGCTCAAGGTTAGGCCCTGCTTTGCGAAACAAAGCGACCAAAACCACAAGGGAAGATGTTTTGATTCTACCTAGGTGACCACCAGTAGGCCCCACCCCTTACCTAAAACACGCCAAATTCGTGTCAGGGCTCTATATCCCGAAAAGGAGGGAGGGTCTCCCTTAAAACACCCATCTCGAGGGGTGTGCTTAATTTGTTCGGGTTTCTAACAGTAGCAGTAGCCGTAGCCGTAGCAGTGGCAGTGGTAGTAGCAGCAGCAGCAGGAGCAGTAGTGGTAGTTCTGGTACTAGTAATCGCAGAACTACCATTCACTGTTGGGGGATGATCCTCGACCAATCTCCCATCTCCCTGCCCTGCCAGAAATGTATAAAACAAAACCTACAGAACTGTTGAAACACCCTATTGTTTCTGCCTGCGCCAGCAGCCGGAGGAAACCCCAGCAGCTCCAGGAAGAAGTCTTCCGATCTCCGGTATGAGCTTCCCCTAAAACATAACAGCCGTAAAGATCCCTTAACATGTGGCTATCTCAGGAAAACGGACAGCGACGTAATGAACTCTATATGTAAACTTTTGTACCATGCATTACCACAGGATGAATACAACTTGTGGAAAACATGCAATGTACAGGTCCAGAACAGCATCCAGCAAGAAGGCCCCGGCTTAGGCTTTGAAGTTTCGGACCCTAAACCCGAAACCCGCCCGTCATGCAGTTGGGATTTAGTGGCCAGCTGCAATGAATTGGGTGCCAAGACCTGAACCTTACCAATCTTGCAACTGGCCCGACTACGAAATCTTGCTTAACGTGTCACACCACAACCTGAAACCGCGCCCGACCCGCACCGTGACTTCGACTACATCGAGATAGGAGCAAACAATCCACATCATGCGCGCAGTCCTGTTAAGGTGCTTACTGTCCATAGTACTTGCCACCTTATGTCCGTGAAAACAAAAATACCATGTGGAACCCGACAAACCCCATCCGCCGACCCGCCTACCTACCTTTGGTGCAGATACACGAGACACGCTTTCCATTTCTGAGACCGCTATGGCAGGACTTGTGACCAACACACATCCTGCATCCCATACGAAGAATCTCGCGCATGCACTAAAAGGCCGGTTTTACATCGCAAGATCTCAAGCGACTCCTCTGCAACTGCAAGGTGACAAACAGCACCTTGCAGGAGATTTCACGTGGCTCATGTCCCGTGCTGCCGCCTTTCGTTAGCGTGACGATGGGGGCATCTTCAGCCAGCTCTTCTGGCTGAGAAAGCCTAGGGCACCCTTTACCTCGATAGTGGTTCACTACTCGGCTCGGGCTTAGGGTTCTGGGTATAATACAGTATACAGGGTTTGTAACCTACTGTGTAGGTAGATGGAGCCCCAAGGAAAGATGCTAGTTTACAGAAACTGCTCGGCAAGGACCAAATCCCAACTCGATGGCAGTCCCGAGAACGCATCAAGACATTCCGGTTGAGCTTTCAAGGGTATACCGATTCGCATCACGCTACTGAATTTGCTGCCCCTAACATGCGATGCCCCTCGCCAACCCTAAATACATTCCAGGGATTCCAGAAAACCGCCCTGGACATGACGGGAAAGTTATGCGCTATGCATTCCAACTGCCCTTCTTAAACCCGAAGCCCTAAACCCAAAAGCCCCAGACCCTAAACCCTAAAGGCACTCCTGTCATTTGTGACTCCCTATTTCTGTCATTTGTGACTCCCTAGGTTCCTGGGTCTGGCCCAGGCAAATCCCCGTCATTTGTGACTCCCTCCGCCTGCCATCACCACACATCACCTCACCCGAAAGTGCTCATATTCATTGGCAGGCCTGTGATTTCCTCTCCAACAAGCACCTGTCATCTGTGACTCCCGACCCTTTTGCCTTGCTTGTCAATGTGGTTTTCACACAGCAACACCGGTCATCTGTGACTCCCTTACTTTTCCTTCTTCTGGTCATCTGTGAGCACTCCTTAAGGTCTTCGTCTTGGGTGAAAGGTTCTTCTTGGATTCACCCCTTAGGATTCCCTCTTCGGCAAAAGGTTCATGCTGGATTCACTCCTTAGGGTCTTCGTCTTCGGTAATAGGTTCCTGCTGGGTTCACTCCTTAGGGCCTGGGTCCTCCTCAGGGCCTGGGTCCTGCTGGGTTCACTCCTTAGGGTCTTCGTCTTGGGTGAACGGTTCTTCTTGGATTCACCCCTTTGGGTTTTTGTCTTCGGCACTGGGTCTTGCTGGGTTCACTCCTTGGGGTCTTCGTCTTGGGTGAAAAGTTCTTCTTGGATTCACCCCTTAGGGTTTCATCTTCGGCTAAAGGTTCCTGCTGGGTTCACTCCTTAGGGTCTTCGTCTTGGGTGAAAGGTTCTTGTTGGATTCAACCCTTAGGGTTTTTGTCTTCGGCACTGGGTCCTGCTGGGTTCACTCCTTAGGGTCTTCGTCTTGGGTGAAAAGTTCTTCTTGGATTCACTCCTGCTGGGTTCACTATCTTCGGCTAAAGGTTCATGCTGGATTCACTCCTTAGGGTTTGCGTCTTCGGTAATAGAATGTTGCCGGGGTTTAGGGTTTAGGGATTGGGGTGTAAGGGTTTAGGGTACAGGGTCTCACCTTGGGCAAAAGGTTCCTGCTGGGTTCCGTCCTTTTTGTCTTCGTCTTGGGTGAAAGGTTCTTCTCAGATTCACCCCTAAGGGTTTCATCTTCGGCTAAAGGTTCATGCTGGATTCACTCCTTAGGGTTTTTTCGTTTTCGGTAAAAGAATGTTGCTGGGTACACTCCTTAGGGTCTTCGTCTTGGGTGAAAGGTTTTCTTGGATTCACCCCAGAGTTTTTCGGGTCAAAGGTTCTTCTTGGATTCACCCCTTTGAGCGTCATCTTCCGCAAAAGGTTCATGCTGGATTCACTCCTTAGGGTTTTTGTCTTCGGTAATAGGTTCCCGTTGGGTTCACTCCTTAGGGTCTTCGTCTTGGGTGAAATGTTTTCTTGGATTCGCCCAACAGGGTTTCATCTTCGGCGAAAGGTTCCTGCTGGCTTCACTCTTTTGGGTTTTTGTCTTCGCTAATAGGCTCCTGCTGGATTCACTCCTCAAATTCTGCGCTGAAAGGCCGAAAGGCCCATCTTCGGCACACGATTCCTGCTGGATTCGCTCCTTAGGGTTTTTGTCTTCGGTAGTAAGTTCCTGCTGGATTCACTCCTTGTTGCGGGTTTTTTAAGCAGTACTAGAGGCGTATTATATGTATACATATATATATATATATATATATACTTATAAAGATATATATATATATGCGCTCATAACACATTATGTATTATGTATTATGTATTATATTTTATACTATATATTAAATACTATATATTATCTAATACTTTTAATATTATATATGATATATATATATATATATATATATATATATATATTATTTTATTTTATATTATACATTATATAGTATATATTATAGGTTATATAATATATACTATATAATACATATATATTTTATATTTTAAGTTGATTATGTATATATATATATATATATATATATATATATATATATATATATATATATGTATTATATATGTATATATATATATGTATATATATATATATGTAATTCTGAATTGGAAGCAGGCATATGGTTGTGCGTTGTGCGAAAAATACACCTCTCCTAGGGAAAAACACTACTTTCGTGCGAAAGTGCACGAAGCCTAGGAAAAACTGCATTTTCAGCGAGAAAATGCACCAAACCCAGGGAAAACCAAGATTTCTTAAAAATGAGCACCGCGCCTAGGAAATATTGCAGATTTGGGCAAACTGACTACAGTCATGTGTGACTCCCAGTTTTCCGTTTCAAACATGAAAGCAATCGGTGCATGTGCTGGCATGTACCAAACCCCTGGAAGGGTCTCCATTTTCAGCCGTTGAACCACCTGTCATTTGTGACTCCCTGGTCGGCTGTTGGACAACAAGGTTCCTGAAGACAAACGTTCAAAAATATCCCAAAACCCTAGGGAGTCACAAATGACAGGAGTGCCCAGGCAAATCCCCGTCATTTGTGACTCCCTCCGCCTGCCATCACCACCCCTAAAGCCCTGAACCCTAAAGCCTTAGGGCCTTAGACCCCAACCCTGGTGCAGCAAAGCAGCCCTCAAGAATGGATTCGTTGCATCAAGGGTTTAGGGTTAAGGGGTTTACCTATAGTCTCCATTGTGGTTCCTTTTTGGGCTTACCCTAGGATCCGACTTCTAAAAACTATTTGGTTAAACCAAAAAGGAGCTACAATGGAGACTCTAGGTAGGATGGGTTGGGGTTCAGGGTTCAGGTGTGTAGAGATTTAGGGCTTAGGTCAGAAATGTTGAGCAGTCACCTGAGTGCCCTGAACCCTAATGAAATTGTACCCTAGATTGGAACCGCAGCCGCAGATGGCAAAGGCAGTCTCCTTGCTTCAGAAAAACAGATCTCAAGATACGTTTTGTCCTCATTCTATACCAGCTTCCTAGGGGACACCTAAACACCTGCGCCTGCATCCAACCCCTGAGCCCGTCTCTATACTTTAAATAACCCCGAAGGTTCCGGAATATCTCACTGCTTCGAATTCGCTCACTCCAGAACTTCAGGTGGCACGTGCAGCCTGCAAGCGACAGGGTCGCAAAGCTTCGGCTGCAAAAACATGAGTTCGGATTTAGGGAACGAATAAGAAACAATCAGCAACAAACAGACGGAGGAATACAGGAATGCAGAAAAACACAACTTCATAACTTGCACGGCATGTATTAGATGTATGGCGGAAGCCCAGATGTTGGACCAGCTG